TATTAATAATGCTCATGCATTATTAACAATAAGGGCTGTCCATTTAATCAGGTGATTGACCTTGTAAATCTAATACAACACGGTAATACAACACTAGTATCGTAGACCTTCACTAGGTTTTGAAGCAATCAAAGACGGATAACAGAACTCGCTTATGCAACAGATGGCTTGCTTTCCATGTGGGATGGATAATTATTCAAAATGTTCTGTGTTGCAGTAAATTGCGCATGCTTAATAGCGACTAAACTCAGCAGTTACCTTATTTGTCATTGTTCGTCATTTATCTCACAGTAATTCATGTTAATTTGTGTTTGAGTTTTATAAGTCGTTTACAACATTCGCGTCCGTCCAATAGCGACCTTTAGCACCGACGGATTTTCGCACGACGGCAAAGCCAGAGTACGAGAGGGGAGTGGGTACGAGACGTTCCCGTTCCCTCCAAAAGTTGAATGTTTAGCAAAACAAARTTGACGCGCGCGCGTGCGTTTCAGACGAAGAATTTATCTTGCTTTACGACTGCTACAAATCTAAAAATCCTGATTTCAACTACGAATCCTACGAGCCATTTGATTTGGATAACTATAATTCAGACCAATGCAAAGCAGAGTTTCGAGTTGAAAAAGCAGACATTCCTCGTCTTGCTCAAGTCTTGGGACTCCCTCCAGTATTRAGATGYCCACAAAGAAGTATATGTGATAGCACTGAGGCTCTGTGCATGCTGTTAAARCGAATGGCGTATCCATGTAGATACAGCGATATCATTCCTCATTTTCCACGGCCAGTGTCCGTGTTGAGCATGATTACAAACGAAACAATGGATTTTATTTATGATAACTATGGTCATTTAATCACTCAGTGGAATCATTACATATTCAACCCCCAAGCCCTTCAAAGTTATGCCGATGCTATATCAGCTAAAGGTTCGCCACTTCAAAACTGCTTTGGTTTCATCGACGGAACTGCTATTCAATTGATGCTKATTTTCTAGCMTACTTTTCATCAGATTGTTCTGATTTTCTTGTTCTTTTTTTCTTCAGCTCCATCTCCGCCTCGCGCAACTCACGATCTTCGCTCGCTTTCTCTTTTAGGAACTCTACAAGCGGCTGTGCACATCTTTTTTTGGATTTTTTCGGTTTTTCATCTTCATCATCACTTAACTTCTGCTTACGCTTATTTTGCCGCATTCTTTTCATCGCTGACTTCCTCGCTTCTTCGGCTTGGTCTTTGTCTTTCGTCGCTTTTGAAGCGGCGGACTCTTGGCTTGCTGTGGTGTTTTCCCTATCCAGTAGTTCCTCTATCAGAACTTCTTTTTCTGACGGTTCGTCGACGACTGAGATACCACTGGCGGCCTATTCATCTCTTGTTTTAGCTTTGTACTTTTGGCTTAGTAATTGCCATCTGTCCCTGATTGCTCTCTTATCTTTGATCCTGAATTGTGACGACTCTATCCTGTTAAGATTGSCCATGATATTTTCCCAGGTTTCGCCTCGACTAAYGCTACCTTTTTTAAACGAGAAAATCTCGCAAGCAAGCATTTCTCTTAGCATTAAGATATCATGGTCTTCTGTCCACTCCATTGATGATCTACAGATGAAAGACAAACGATAATTTGGTAAAGCATCCTGAACAACATGTTAAACTACATCATAAGCTTAATTTTTAGAGTAGATTGTCGAAAAATTCAAAAGCTTTCGCCGGGCTGAAAAAACAATTTAAGTTATAGCTGGAG